TTTACTTATGAGGTGTCCAATTTGAGTATATAATTTATTGACGGAGATTTTGTGTGTGATCTAAATTGAAGGCCTTAATGATTTAAGAAACCAAAATTGAGGATGAAAATAAGTTTAATTTGACATTTGGAGCCTTTTTGGAGTTTGATTAAAAATCTAATTAAGAATAATAAATTTAAATATAATTAATTGGTCTATAATGAAAGTCAAATTAGACTGATTAAATTATGTGGGATTTGTGATTAGTTATGATTAATTTAATTATGTGCTAATCAAGATTTATTAAGACTAAGTGTTTCTTAAGTAAATTAATCTTAATCATAAATTGAATTATAAAAGAATCTAGAATTGAGGGTGTATGTGGGTGTGGATGTAATAAGCATATTAGTGGGTGTGGGTGTATATGAGTGTTGTGTTGGAAGCTCAATATTGTGTGCATGTGTGCTTGAGGTGTCAACAAGAGAGGGTGAGCTTGTGTACCTCTTAATATGAAATGAGAAGGAAAATGAATTCATTCATGTGTATGTGCTGGAAGGAACAGAGCCGAGAGAGAGAAGAATAAAGAGAGAGAGAGAGAAGAATAGAGAGAGAGAGAGAGAGAGAGAGAGAGAGAGAGAGAGAGACCAACTCCATCTATGTGTATGTGCTGGAAGGAACAGAGCCGAGAGAGAGAGAGAGAGAGAGAGAGAGAGAGAGAGAGAGAGACCAACTCTATATGCTGGAATGGTGAAGGAAAGCAAGGGGGAAAGGTTGGAAAAAGTGAAGAATTGAAGAGAGACTCAAGAAATTGTGAAGAAACTCATCAAATTGAAGGTTTTGGGTAAGAAATTAAAGCTCAAATCTTGTAGATAAATCATCTAGAAGCTGAACTTAAGAGGTAATTAAATTCAATTCCATGTAATGAAAAATAAATTAGCAAGAAAATGAGTTAGGTTAATGAATATGGAAATTGATCTCATAATATCATCAAATTGAGTTTGATTTTGAACACTGAAGTATTTGAGTTTTATATTCATACGCATCATGGATTTTGAAGACCTTGAGCTATTTAATTTTATACTTTGAATAGAAAAAGGAGAAGTCTTATGAAAATTAAGCTTTGGGTTAAACATTGGGTTATGATCAAATTCTAAGAGATTATTTTTGTAATTCATCATTTAAGTTTAGTTCTTGTTATTTTTCATGAAGTTGAATTCCATATTTACATGCATCATAGATTTTTAAAAGATTCGAAGGATCAATTCTATGATTTGGTATAAGAAGAGCAAGTTTTGGAAAATGATGAATTTATGAGCACTTTGAGTTTAATCTTGAATTAAAAGAATTTTGATGTAAACGGTTTCATTTTTATCCTAATTTCACACATGCAAATATTTCTCTAAGAGTTTTATAACTTCAATTTCATGATTTAAAGAAAACAGAAAAGAGTTAGAAATTAATTTCATGTAAATTGAAAGGAATTAGTAAAAGGATGAAGAAATTGAATTAGATTCAAGATTATGAAAGTTGATTTAGAATTTAATTATTTTGGAATTTTGAAAGTTATAGTTAAAATAAGCTTCAAAAATTACATGCAATTGCATTGTGCATTTGATTTTGAAGAAGAATTTTTAGAAACCACGAGTTCATGGGTTTTGATTTGAATAAATTAATTAGTAATTATGTTTAATGATTTTGAGTTGGATTTTAAAGTGTTAATGCATGAAAGTTTTTGTATTAAATTTTATTTTAGAAAAATCCATAAGCTTCATGTTTAATTTCATATTTATGTTTCAAAGGAAAAAATGTTGAAAATATTTACGTGCATGAAGTTTTGTTTTAAATTTGGACAAGTTGATGAGATTTTGAGTAAATGATTTATAAATAAATAAGTGTTTATATTTTGTAAAGTGTTTTCAAGGTTTTGATCAAGATGTGTGAGTTTAAAGATTGAAAGATGCATTTGGAAACCATTTTTGAGAAATTTGGAATTCTGGAAATTTTACAAACTGCTCGAGTAGATTGATTACTGCTCGAGAGCACATTGAAGGCTTCTAATACTTTTGCAGTCTTTTACATACCGCTCAAGCGACTAAAGGTTCACTCGAGCACACAACTATTTTCAATATATTTTGAAAAATTGCTTTTAGTTCATATTTTCATTCTCATCTCTTTTCAAACATTCAAGACATGATTTCTAGCTCAATAAATATTAATAAGCTAAAAGAATAAGTCATTGATTTAATAATAATTGATTAAGATGCTAAGTAAGAAATCGATTTATTGGAAAATGACTTAGTAATAAAAGAATATGTGAGATGAGAACCTGATTCATTTGAATAAAGAAAAAATATGCGTAGTAGATCTTCAGATTACTTCGTTAGAAAAAGAATAGAGAAATCAAGTTTGATCAAGAAGTGATATTATGTTTCAATGTGTATATGTTATGTGTTTGTGTAGGTCGTGCGCTATTGTCTACTTGATCTGTCGAATCTGTCTGATCTACTTCTAGAACTATCTATGAGTAATAACTTAGTAAAGATATATTCAACTTTATTTATTTTTTGTATGATGAATTAAGATCTGTTTTCTAAAATGATATATTCTGTACAATGATTGATTGTCTAATTTCTAAAAGTGTATTCGTAGCATCCTTAGCATCATGTGATATCTATTAGCTGTTATCCGGTATCAGAGGTTCCATTATGGAACTTAATATGTCTGCATTTTGTTACCCGTACCGGAGGCTCCATCATAGGGCTCAGCATATTTATTCTCTTACCCAAATCCGGAGGCTTCTTTATGGAACTAGTTGCTCATAACCACCACATGTTCTATAAATGTTTTGTTAGCGCTAATGGAAGTACCACGTATAATTAAGTATGAACTTTGATTTTTGTATATGATTTGAACAAAAATATGAATCTATTTTTGAATCTGAATTCTGATTTCTGAATCTGGTATGTATATCATTCATTAAAACCCTTTACTCTGTTATTATTTACTGAACTCCAGCTTACTGTATTATTTATGTATGTAAATGATCAAGTGCGTGACCAGGCCTAAAGCTTTTGCCTAGACTCTGTTTCGTTAGCCAACCTATGTGCCTCCCATGGAGGTTCCCGATATGTTAAGTGGTTATGGCTGTGTGCATAAAATTCAAGTTTTGTTATCTTGTTTTGGTTTAACAAGTGTTTTTGTCTATTCTGTATTTAGGGCTAAGTCCCTTTTTTGTCTAGCCTATATATATGATGATGTGTAAATATATGCATATAAAGTTTAAAATTTTTTGTCTCATATAAGTCTGCACAGTTTAATAGACGTTGTATATTTATTAGTTGCTTCTACCAGCCCCTAATATTATGTTAATCTGTCTTAGAGGCCTTCGGTAATTCCATAATTACTGGCCGGTTACGATACTAAACCTATAGGGGCGGGCTTTGGTCGTGACACATTGCCTCCACTTCCATCATCGCTACTCCACCACCACCTCCTCTACCACTATCACCACACCATCACAATTGCTGCCTTCACTCTGCTACTACCATCATAATCATAAAAAAAATAATAAATTAAAATTAAAATTAAAAATACAAAAAAAAAAGATTTTTTAAAAAAGTAAAAAAATAATAATTTTTTTTAGAATAAATAAAAATTATTTAAATTTTTTTTTTTTAAAAAAATGAAGAAAAGAAAAAGAGAGATGAAATGTTAATTAGGTTCATTTGTCTAACCCATATTCAATTCAACGTAACCCATTTAAACTCATGAAAAATGCTTGGGAGCACTAATTAGTGCTCCCACTAATTAGGTGGCAGTGGGTCCCGCCATTAATGATGTGATGTTTTGGTCTTAGAGTTGTATTTTTTTTTTTTTTTTACTTTTTTAATACATTAGTGCTATTAGTGGTGATATTTTTAGTGGAATGAATCATTGTTGTAAACTCATTCATGGCCTAGTTTGAGTTGATTTGCTTTAAATGCATAACTCCTTTTGACTTGTCCATACCCATCAAATTTGCCACCTCTAACTAAAAGAGAGGTCATTATAATAATATAAAAATTATGAGATTTATAGTATTTTTTTTTTAAATATCAGGAGAGAGGTCAATGTAATTTACCCTATTTTCCCCCTACCAATCTCTCTAATTTTAGAGTGATTCAAAAAGTGAATTGTAAGAGAAATCAATAAAGTCTTTCTATTTCTTTCAATTTCTCATCACTTATCTTCTCTTATGTAATTCAAAAGAAATAATTAAAACTAAGAGAAAGCAATTTTGTTTCCTTTCCAAATCATTTAATCCAAACAAATTATAAATAAATATATGAACATAATCATTCTAATTTGCCAAAACAAGGAGAAATTATTTTTTGCTCCTATGTAATATCATGGGGTGCTCTAATTTAATATTCATTAGTTAAATCTAATACCTTTTGTTAAGTTTTTAAAAATAATTTAAGAAATGTCAAATGATAAATAATATAAAATAATACTCGAAGGGTTTGACTTTTTTCAAATTAAGGTTTCAATTTGAGTTAGCGTTTAGGTTTGATAGACCTATTTTAGAATTGATTTTAGTATTCAAGTTGTTCATTTTTTTAGACTTGTTAAGTAAAATATTTATGCAAAAAATCAAGTTAATTAGATATCAGTAGTTATATATTTGAATTATATTATTTTACAAAAATAGACAACAAATATAATTTTTAAAAACAACCATTCAGTTTTTTGTAATACAAATTTAATTCAAACATGCAGTTACTGATGTGCGATCATTTTATTTTTTTATATAAATATTCTACTCAATAACTTTTAAAAAATAAGTGATTCAGATTATCAAAACGGGACTTGTGTAGACTCTACAAACACTTCAAATTCTCGTGAAATGTGAACTTGAGTGTAACCTACCGGATAATGGAATACCACCAAATAATCACTCAGCCTTACGGACTAAGGAAAGAATCCTTAGGTACATATAAAAAGCAGCCATGCATTCAACCTTTACAAAAAGCTCCCTTCTCTTTCTCCCTCTATAGGCTGAGGAAAGAACCCTACATACACGATAAAAAGCAGCCATGTCTTCAACCTTTACTAAAAGTCCCTTCTCTTTCTCCCTCTATATAGCTCTTTCCTATTACGTTCTGCTCCTTTGCACTCTCTTCTCTCTCTCTCTCTCTCTCGCTCTCTCTCTCTAAAACTCTATTTTCTCAGTCTTAACGAAACAAAGCTGAAGATTTGCGATTACCGAAAGCTGTTTAGTCCAGTTTAGTGCCAATTCATCAGTAGAAGAGTAGATTCTGCAATTTCGGTTCTACAATTCTGTTGGCCACGAAGGTGACTACTCTTTTATTTATTTATTTGTGTATAAATGCTCTTATATTTATTTATGTATGTATTTATTTGTTTGAGAAATTACAAATATTCCCCTTTAGAATTTTTTAATTAACAGAATTAGTTAAAAACAAAATCCTAACTATTCTCTCATACAACAATAAATTATCTGAATTGCTAATTCAAATATATTTTTAATATCATTGAAAACTAATAATTGACTTTATTAGCCATTTGTTTTGCGATTATAAAGTTGAAGGGGCGGGATATATTTTCCAAAATCACGGGACAATCCATGTTTAAGCTAATCTCATGAGGTGTATTTGTAATTTATTCAATTTTTAATAATGTTATAATTATATTTTAATTAGTAATTCAGATAATTTTATTATGGTATAAAAAAATAATTAGGAATTTATTTTTTTTCGTTAATTTTATTAAATAATTTTTTTTAACAAAAGAATATTTATAATTTTCATAATTATAAGGATAATTCATATTTTAAGCAAATAGATATATATATATATATATAATTTATTCTTTTTTTATTTTTAAGATTGGATTGTACTTCCTTATCATTTTACTTCCATTTTGGGTTGAATGCTTTGATAACTCTACGAGATTTGAGTTATAATCATCTCCATTATATACATCATCTAGTGATGAATGTAATAATTTTGTTTTAATTTAAATTAATTATAAATTTACATTCATATTTCATAGTCATTAGATATGTAATGGAAATTCTCCATTACATATATGCAAGGTTTTAAAAAGCGGCCGCAACCGTTACGTAACGCCGTTACGTAACAGTTTTGGCGGTTACCGCCACCCGTTACGGCCGCTTTTGCAGTGTGATTGAGATTCACAGGTGTGTCGGCCGCAGCGGCTGCCGTAGCGGTCGTAACAGGCCGTTACGGCTGTTACAGCACCGTTACGACCGCTACGGTAGCCGCTACGGCCGACACACCTGTGAATCTCATTCACACTGCAAAAGCGAAAAAAAAAAAAAAAAAAAAAAACTGAAAATGGGGGAAGAAGGATAGAGAGAAGAGGGAAGATAAAGACATAAAATGAAGGAGCAAGAGATAGAGAGAGAAGAGGAAAAATGAAAAACATGTTATTGATTTGTTGAAGTTGTAAGACCTATGCTATTCTATTGCTATCACTAAACCATTTTGTTTGTATGTATCTATTTATATATTGTTTGAAAATAATAATAATAATAATAATAATAATAATAATAATAATAATAAGTGTGGTCATTATTTATTTGGCTTGGTTAAAATATGTATATATATATATATATATTTATGCTCTTATTTATTCTCTTACTTTTGTCATTATTTATCTTATATATAATAGTTAGTAATTGATTTTTTGTATATTATAAAGTTATTAATAATTAAAATAAAATGTAAAAAACTCAATTTATAGTGATTTAAAAAAATGAAATATATTTGATCATACTTAAAAATTTACAAAAAATGATCAATATTTATTTTTAACCCAATAAATATGATCATGGAAAAAAAATATGAGTATCGGTAAGTTTTTTTCAAATTGTGCGAAAAATAAAAAAATTCATTGCTCCAGTTACCGCAACCGTTATACTACGGCCTTTACACCCCGCAACCGCAACCGCAACGGCGTCACCGCCACCGTTACGGTGACCGCAACCGCTTTTCAGAACCTTGCATATATGGAACCGAGAGGATAAAAACTTCTAAGCCTCTGTCTCTGATCAGCTAATTTCTTTTTGGATAGATTCCTTTCAATCTATGATCTAGATTCGAGGGTGTTGTGTGGGTTCGTTAGGCTTACTACGGTCTCGTTTTAATAATTCCAACGGTTCATTTTATTGGGCTCTTTATATATATTATTCACACAAAATTAAATTAATTCGATATTTATAACCTATTTCATATTTGTTATTAGAAAAATTGATGGTCTATTTTTTAAAACAAACTTTTTTTTGGGTAAATTACAAACACAACTCCTGGGATTTATTTAAATTAGAAATTAATAAACATACCCAATTAGAAATTATATTATGCCCTCTATGGTTTCTAATTTCAAAACAAATAGGCCCTTTTATTAATAAATTGTCAAATTAATTTATAGTTTTTAATAATGTTAAAATTTTATTTCAATTAATAATTTAGGTAATTTTATTATTGTATAGATGAACAGTTAGAAATTTCATGTTTTTTAATTAATTATGTTAAATAAAAAATTCTGTCAGAGAGGTATTTATAATTTTTCAAACCACATAGGACAATTCTTATTTTAAGCAAACCTCAGGAGGTATATTTGTAATTTAGCCTCTTTTTTTTTAGGTAGAATTAAAACATACTAGTTCATTTTTTAGCCATAAATATAATAAATTAAATAAATTATAATTTTGAGGTCAATCTAATTTTTTTGAATGATATACAAGAAAAGCCGATAGAATGAATAACCCAAATTATTAAAATAGAATTCGTAATGTCTAAACAACTCCCTCCAATCTATGATTTGGAAGCTAAGTCTTTTATATATATATATATATATATAATGGGTGGTGTTCGGTTGTGCAACCCACATGCAGCCTAAGTGTCAACCTTGGAGTAGAAATAAATGACCACGACCATTGAATTGTTTAATTGTGAAAAATGAAAACCGGGGCAACCGGTTAACCCTCGGATTAGAAAGAAGCAATTCACCGCTCCTAATTATAAACGCCATAAAGCAATCGAAAGACAGCAAGGCAATACTAATGATGTTTTGATACAGGAACCAAATTGCAATTCAGCATAAAACAATGGCTTCCTCATCATCCAACAGTGCACAAATCTTAAAGATGAAGCGACAAATAGCCGAAATCCAACTTCAGATTCTTGAAGCCGAAAAGGCCAAAGGCATAAATACAACACGAGAGGCTAGTGAGCCCAAGTTATCAAAAGAGGCCTATGAGCCCAAACGGAGTGGTGAGCCCAGTCAAGCCCACCAAGGACGTGAGTCCGGTTTGGTTTATCCACCGAACAGTAACAAAGCCGCAGTTGACGCTAGTAACAACAAGATTATTCCATTAGACAGAAATCGCAAGGAAAGGGCAAGGCCAAACACCTGTCTAGTGGTGGAACCTTACGTACAGCCCACTTCTGTATTAGCCCAAAGTCAGGAGGCCACTTTTGATCTAGTTGACCAGTTAGCCCAAGAAACAGATCAGGTCCAAATAGCAAACCCTGCTGACTTACGGCCGCCAAAGCCTTTAAAGCCCAGCAATGAAAAAACCCGAGATTTCAACCCGACTCAAATCAAACCATGGAAACCATCTACACCCGTTTCCAAAGACCAATTAGACATCCTGACATCAGCCTTCAATCATATACGGCACGGAACAGGAAACCCTAAACCGATCAGAAAAGTCGAAGCAGAGTTCAGCCGACTCAACAGACTGATCCAAAATTCAGTAGAATCAGAACAAAGAAAGAGAATTTCCGAGTTTGATCCTATAACATACAATGAAGAGATCGATCTTTCATATTTTCTTACTGAAGCTCCGATCAAATGGGAATTGTTTTACAACAACATTGTCCCAACCTTCTTCAGATTACTCGAAAGATGGAATCATCTCTATAAAACCATCAATAGTGCAGCTGACTGGGAAGAAGTTCTCAGAAAATGTTACGAGTCCACCGATGTACAAGCATTTAAGGACAAGGCACAAATATGGCGCAGTCCAGCAGGTGGAAAGCAAATTTTAATTAAGGCAGAGATTAGTTCAGATATCTTTGCAGAATTAATTGAAGCCGGTTTTATTCATTCAATTATTTTGGATGAAAATTCGGTAAGGATGGCAAACAAGGCCCATCCCACAGTCCAGGAGTTCATTGAATTCTTAGACAGAACCAGACTCCATAGGTCGACAATCAATCGCGACACTCTCTATGGAATACGTTTGATGACGGCACCTCCGATGTACGAATGCATGCATTGGAAAACAGTTGGCGAATTTTTAGTCAGCAAGCCTCGTATTTTCCCAAGCATAATCTATATGCAAGAAGTCGCCAACATAGCCAAAAGTGTCGACTACACCAAACCAGAGTTAGTAGATATCAATGACGACAACTACAGAGAAAGAGCCCTTCGACTACAACAACTCGAAGATGCAAGCGCTGACCTCAGCAAGCATTATGTCTGGAAAGATGACAAGCGCATCCTATGCCATGCAGAGAATGGACATCTCCGGTCCCACTTAGCAATACAATTTGCTACAGGGAATCAAGGAGTACTATGCCCTAAGCTGGAAGAGCATCTCCAGCCAGCTAAAAGGCAGAAGACGACGAGCAAGGACAAGACCAACCTGACTCTCCACTAAAGACTCAAGACAAGACGAAGACTCTTACGTGCAAATCTGACTGCTGTATGAACAGCAATGAGTCTATAATGAGTGCTTTAGTAAGCACGCGTCCTTTTACAGGGCCTACCACTTGGTTCGCTCGTCTTTTGAGTCATGTCATGTGAATAGCTTTCCAACTACTACTACTACGCATCTGTGTCTTTTTGCGAGAATAAGAAAATTCACACTAATCACTTTAAATTTTTAGTTAAATTAAAATTATTTTAATATTTTAATTAGTTATATCTTAATATTTATTTTATCAAAATTTTTATTTTAACTTATTCTTATTAAAATATTATTTTGTTATTTTATTTATTAATCTTTCTTTTTTTATTAAATTGATAAGTTATTAATCAAATAATTCTTAAAAAATATATAAAAAAAAATTACCGTTGACCGATTGACTAGCCAAACTTTTAGACAGACAGTTAATAACATTAATCTAGCGGTGAATAATATTTCATTTGATGTAACGAGATACTATAACAAGCATAAATTTTGATGTGCAAGCAAATTTAATGAAATTAATTTTTTGAAATTTATTAATTAAAAAATGATTTTGAAGACGTCGATAGGAATGCTCTAATGCATTGACCAGTCCGGTCCCAATGCTACTCTTGGCCCGTCAGTCACCTTTTGCTAAAGTAAAAGCAAATTACTAATGGGGGTTAATGATGGAGACCTATAAAATATAATTTTCACAATTTTTAAAATAATTTACGATCCGTTTGGAAAGATATTTTGTGATTAAAATAATCACAAAAGATAAAATAAGTTATTTTAACTACAATAAATAAAATATTATATTTAATTTATAATTATTATACTCTTCTCTCACAAAAAAGTCAAAAAATTAAAAAGTCATTTTCAAACTAAACTTTTTAATCCAGGTTAAAATAATCAAAAAAAACTAACCCATAGACTATTTATGTTGCTATTAGATATATTTTTTAAAAAAATTTAAACACATCAATGATTGATATGTTAGTGGGGTCATGGTGGTTATCTTTTGTGGAGATCCCAAACATGAGTTTGGATTCATAGCTCGAAAGAGGATGGCTTGAGAGTGACTCGATACCAAAATAACGTGGCTTTGATGTATTTTTTTTTTTCGTGTTTTTCTGATGATGGGTTCATGCACTGTTGGTCAGCAGTAGACCTTTTTTTCCTGAACAAGAGAAATAGCTTTATGCACTGTTGGTTCAAGAAGAAATAGCTTTATGGCAAGTGCGAAGATGGGTTCATGCACTGTTGGTTCAAGAAGAGGAAGAGAAGAAGAAGAAGCAGGAGGTCTACTGCGCTGCTGGGTTCATCAACATCAACAGGAAAAAAAAAAAATTGTTGATCAACATCAACAAATTTTTTTCTGAACAATTTTTTTTTTTTTCATCAAAATCTCATCATCTTCAACATCATCATCATCTTCATCTTCATCAACAAAAAAAAAAAAAAAAATCCCTTTCATAATCCAGATCTATTGGAATCATCAACATCAACAAAAAAAAAAAAAATTTGTTGATCAACATCAACAAATTTTTTCCTGAACAAAATTTTTTTTGTTCATCAACATCTTCAGATTTTGAACATCATCATCACCATCTTCTTCATCAACAACAAAAAAAAAAAATCCCTTTCGTAATCCAGATCTATTGGAAAGGGGACCCCATCACTGACCACCTTCACCGCCGATCACCGACCGCCATCACCGCCAATCTTTCTTCTCCTCTTCTCTCTTCCTCTTCTCTTCTCTCTTCTCTCTGTCTCTCTCCACTCGTCTCTTCCTTTCTGTTTTGGAACACACAGAGAAAGAAAGGAAAGGAAAAAAAAATAAAAAAAAAATACCCAAAACGACGTCGTTTTGGGTATTTTTGGCCAATTTCGAGCGACGGATCATTTTCCTTACTAATGTTATGAGGCCAACTTGCGCATCCGAGACCCGGTTATTGCTTATACCCGGGTGCGTTTGATTGGAGGATTAGGGGGACTATTTATTGTTAGGATTGCTTATCTAATGGAGGGGGATGACCCTCGTTTAATTGTAATTTTGGTTCAACGAACGTGGAGTCCGGCCAGATTTCATATCCTTCATATGAGGGACTAAACAATCCTAAGGAATAGGATTATTTCCATGGAATTGGTATATCATAGAACTAATGTGTGAAATGTCCATTTTACCCTCATTCTATTACTTAGTAAACAATTAGAAAAAAGGGTAAAATAGTGTTTTTGAACATTTATAAATTATTTTTTTAGTGTTGTTAATTTAAAATTATATATTAAATAAAAAGATATAAATTATAAATTTAATTTAATTAAAAATAATAAATTAAAAATTATGGCATTATAAATTAATTTTTTTTAGTGTTGTTAAAAAATTAAATTTACATATTAAATAAAATTATTTTTTTAGTGTTGTTAATTTAAAATTATATATTAAATAAAAAATTAAATTATAAATTAAATTTAATTAAAAATAATGGGGTTTTTGGTTTCAGTTTTTCCTAAGTATTTGGTTTCTAAGAAATCCCAAGCCTATGGTCTATGTAAGTGAACAAAAAATTCAAAGCAGAACTAGAAACAGACAAGAAAGACCAGACAAGAAATATATTCAGAAATCAAGATTGAAACAAGAAACAAGAGTAAGAATCTGAAAGACTGACAAAGCAAACAGAAACAGAACGAAGTTCAGGGCCAAGAAGGATTCAAAAGGTTAAATTCAAGAATCACAAATGTAGAATCCCAAATCCATTAAACACTGAGTGAGTGTGGGGGGGGGAGTGCACGCAAATTCAAAAATGTGATTGATAGTCAAAAGACACAGTAACAAACTTCAAATCATAAAGCAGATTCAAGGAATCGACTCATAGACAACAATGAGTGCGAGATTCAACAAACAACAATGCAGTAAAAAGAGCATATGGTGAGTTCATGAAAGAAACATATTCAAAAACAATGGAAGACTGAGATTTGAAAAGACAGAAATTGAGAACTTACCAAATAAAGCAAGGAAACGAGGCTAAAAGAAATTCGCTGGAGTCTAACATGGTGTCTAAGCGATGTAGTGGGACGAATGAAATGATTGCAGAGCTTTGAAGAAACAGTAATGGCGGTTCGAGAGCGGAAGTTTAGAGAGAGAAAATTTTGCAAAATGGGAGATTTTTTTTTTTGCAAAACTGAACAAACGGAGAGGGAGGGAGAAGTTGTCAAAATTGTGAAAAGGAGCAAAACCATAATGATGTGCCTTGGACGACGGTGTCCTGTCAGGTGACATGTGCAGAAGCACGTGTCTTGATAGCACATGTCAGGTACGAACTACTGAGAGAAGGATGTGTGGCGGAAACGGTTGAGAAAACCCGTGCGTGACAGTTCATGAGCAGATAAAACTCTTGAAGTTCTTGATTTAATAAAGAAAAAAACCTCGACTAGAGGAATGATCTCAATTAAGATACTTAAAGAACTTGGTTCTTGGTTCTTGATCCCTGATAAAAATGGACAGTTAAGTACTGAGTACTCGAAGCCAACAAGTCATGATCTCGATTGAAGGAAAGAATGAATTTTAGCCGACATAATATATGAATAAACAATGTATGTCTATCACCTCAGGTTACCGACGTAATAGCACCTAGGGAGACAGTTGTGGGACATATTTTTGTTAATGACAGTACGTGGCCAAGGTGACGCCGAAGTGTCAGCCAAGGTACCACATAGCCTGGTCTTGATGCTGAGGTTATCTTGCAGAGATACCGGAAATTCGAGGTAAGCGGATAAGGGACAAAAGTTCTAGAATTGGGAGATTCAGTCGGATAAAGATAAAACTCTTAGGGAGTTTATCTTTATCTAGCTGAGAGGCCAGGATGAGCATTGAGCCTGAGTCCACTGAGTGAGACTTCTACAAGGATCAGGTCAGTCTGCTGTTATATAAAAGCAGGGCATCCTCATGGGTCTAAGGTATGCTTTTTTTATGTTCTGTCTAGTGAGTTAAGCACTATTTGTTTATCTTGAGAGATATTGGATTATGACTTGATCGTCAAAGTGCCTCCGGTGGACGAACCACCACCGGATTCTCATCTTTTTGACAGTTTGTTGGCTTAATCTATTCTGCCGGTACTCTCGCACTGAGTTCTCCTTTGTGTTGTGGTCAAAAATCAACACCCACACAAGCAATGTGGTCATGCTCTAATGCCTTGAACAAATCAATGACTTCTTTGGAGAAAATCGACACGAGAGAAAACAAACTAAAACTGATATTGTATTGTTGAAATTGTTACTTGTTATAAAGATTTGACAAATTAAAAACAAAAATACAAAAGAATCAGAAAAAAGTTTACTAATGACAATAACCAAAAAACGATAAAAAAATCATAAATTAAAAACTACTCTTAAAAAGAATAAATTACTCCTATAGGTAGAAGCTATCTACATCCTAATTTGGCTACTGCAACTCTTTGTCTATTTATAATCAACACCAAGGCTTATTTGGGCAAAGAACTACTAAGCAGTTTCTCTTCAATATAAGCCGCGTTGCTACATCCTCCATAGAGCCACGTTCTCCACTACTAGAAACAACATGCATGCTCCACGTTTGCTACTTTCCTAATTTCATGTCATATCAACTAATTGATTACATTCTGCTGCGAACAAAAATAACAAAACAACAACAACAACAACAACAAAAAAATAATAATAAAATAATAATAATAATAATAATAATAATATGTGGGTGTTGATTTTTGACCTCACAACCAAACAAATCTCTTTGCCAAGATCTAGGGAACTCAGCTGGAAAGCCAAGGTAGGAAGTAGTCATGGCTTTGAGATAGACACGACAAACATATCATAATGTAAAAGATGGAGGGTCCATCTATATTCTTTTTGTTTGAATATTAAAAGTAAGAGTTTTGAGGATGGTTGAATCTATTAGAGAAACTTCAAAATTTGGAAAACATTCAAAATAGATTAGTCCATAGTAAGACTGGTTTTGATAACACCTAATAAAGAATTATCATAATCCTGATGAGCATATCATGGAGGGTGCATAAGATAGATTTGTTAAGATGGAAGCGTGTCATAGGTTTGACACCAGCTTAGACAAGACCTAAGTATAAGAAATTGAATTTCTTCTAAATTTAAGAATAGTATCTCGATCAAAAATTGAAAATTTTGATTATCTTGAGTACCGGTAATATTTGTT